CACACCCAGCCACTGGTCCTGGAGAGCCTCTCCATCAGCTCACCGCTGCCCCACTGCACCACGTTTGCACACCAAGCACCTGCATGACCCGTGGCTCCGGGCAGGTAGCGAGTAACCAGAAGCAAAGCCTTGGAGGTTTCTGTCAGGAGAAGGAAGACACTGCCTCCCACCCAGCCCAGGGCTCCCCACTAGCATCTGTGTCCACTCTCTCAAAGAGGGACGTCCCTGTCTGACTGCAGACCAGATACTTTGTGGCCCCAACCCAGCACTGAAGCACAGTCCCATCCCCACATTGAAGAAAGCATGTTTGTGTTGCCACGTCATGATACTACATCTTCCCATGTGTCATACGTGGGCATGAGTCATAGGACAGTGCACCCCTGAGCAGCAAGCCAGCTCGCTCCCTAAGCCAGGATGCCCCCAGAGTCAAGCATGACTAAGCCCCCTGGGGTTCTCAAGACACACAGCACCTCTGCAATGACCCTGCTTTTACCCTGCTTTCCCCTGCTCTTCCATGGGCTCAGGGCCCAGCCCCTCACTGCTCCGCCTGCACTGGGGCAGACCCTCCACCCCCCACACTCACTGAAGAGGGTCTTTGCCACCCTGCAGCCAGGACCACAGGCTCCTCCAGGCCTCCACCTCCCAGCTCATCACCCCCTGGAGCATCTCAGCCCTGCCCAGCGGTATTCCACCACCTTCCATTTGAGGGGGTGCGGTGCAGCAGAAATTGTGTTGTATTCCTCTCTGTCCCCACATTTAGCAGAGAAGATGACTGAGGCGATACTGTTCCTCATTCACACTCCTGGCACCTGGGATCTCTTAGAGGCACTCTCAGCCTGGACGGAATATTGGTTCGGTTGACTTGACTAGTTCAGTTGGTTGACTAGAGTCAACACCCGACCTGTCATTCCTCTAGTTATCTCTAGTCACTTATAATGATGTGCCCCAGATCCAATCAACTTGGCATTCAGTTGCTCACCATACATCTGTTTTTCCTCAGGATGAAATATCTGTTGTCTTTTCTGAATGGACAAGCAATACAATCTCATTTTGAAAAATAACAATATAGAGGCCAGGCACAGTGGCTCATGCCTGTAATCCCAGCAATTTGGGAGGCAGAGGTGGGCAGATCACCTGAGGTTGAGAGTTCAAGACTAGCCTGACCAACATGGAGAAACCCCCTGTCTACTAAAAATACAAAATTAGCCAGGCATAGTGGTACATGCCTGTAATCCCAGCTGCTCGGGCGGCGCAGACAGGAGAATCACTTGAATCTGGGAGGCGGAGGTTGTGATGAGCCGAGATTGCACCATTGCACTCCAGCCTGGGCAACAAGAGCGAAACTCCGTCCCCCTCCAAAAAAATAAATAAATAACAATAGAGAAATAATAAAGGAGCTAATAGAAAGGAACGACACACTTTGTACAGGGTGGCTACATTCTTCCCATTTTATGCATTTTTATGCATTTTATACATTTTAATGCATATATAAACATATAAATTTGTTTCACAAATGTAGTAATCCTACATAACAGGTTCCATGAGCTGTTTTAACTACTCCATGTGGCTGACCTCCCTGTTCACAACTGTGCAGTATCACAATAACACAGCATGTGTCAACTCAGTCATGTATTGACCCAGCCTCCTCCCAAGAGATGTGTGGGTGGCTCTCAAGTCTTCACCACACTGAACAGAGCAGTGACACACACTTGCACGCACCCAGTTCTTTCCCTAGAATAAATTCCTGAAAATGGAAGTCTTGGCACAAGAGTGTTCAGAGGTTACTTGGTGATACAAGCTGTGGCTGCCCTCAGCCACGAGACCCCACCACCACTGAGATGCTAGTCACCTCTGCCAGTCTGTGGCAAGACGTGAGGTCATTTCCCGTTCTTCTGTCCCGGGTGCGGACTTACTAAACCCCTACCCAATCACCATCATTTTGGTTTTTAAAACTGCTAATTAAAAAGCAAAAACCAGAACACTCTAATTTACTTGAGTCACTTAATTTCTAAGTTAGAATACACAGTGGAATTCATCTTCACTATAGGATTGGCCATTATTAAGGGGATAAAACAAATTCATAGATTTTTTTTTTTTTTTACTACTCTCCAACTGTTTAGTTAGAATTAAATGAAATTTAAAATCCAGTTTCTCAGCTCACTGGCCACTCTACAAGCTCAGTGACCACATGGCCAGTGGCTATTGTACTGGACGGTGCAAAGAGAGGACACAGACTGCCATCACCCAGGAAGATCGGCTGGCCAGTGCTGTTCCAAAACTGAAAGTCAGGATGATGTCCACTAAAAACCATAACAATGGAGCTTCACACACAAGAATTATGCAGGTGACCTGCACTATGGAAGGTACTCAGAACACTTTCCACCCCTGTGTGATGGATTTATGATAGATCCCATCACACCTATGTCTAGTCTCCATAGCAACCAACAAAGGGGTGGCGGTGGGGGGCTCTATATTAAAGGGGTGGAGGGGAATGTAACTAACCACAGTAACTAACATCAGTCTACATTCTCAAATTCTTCGTCACCATTCCCAACAAAACAAACACTACTCCCCCTTCTAGGAAATGAAATAAAAAGGGCCCTCCGCTATCTAACATGAAGCTGGATATTCCTCATACCTCCGGACCTCTGTTTTCATGTGTCATCAAGAAGGAATGCCTGGGCCACAGAGAAATGGGGATTTGTAAAAGTCAAGGTAAAACTTATTTAAAAGTCTTGGACATTCAGGCCAGGTGCGGTGGCTCACGCCTGTAATCCCAGCACTTTGGGAGGCCAAGGTGGGCAGATCACAAGGTCAGGAGATAGAGACCATCCTGGCTAACAGGGTGAAACCCCGTTTCTACTAAAAATACCAAAAAAATCTACTGGGCATGGTAGCAGGCACCTGTAGTCCCAGCTACTCGGGAGGCTGAGGCAGGGGAATGGCGTGAAGCTCTGGGGAGCGGAGCTTGCAGTGAGCTGAGATTGCACCACTGCACTCCAGCCTGGGAGACAGAGCAAGACTCCACCTAAAAAAAAAAAAAAAAAAAAAAAAAGCCTTGGACATTCAAAATAGAACTGCCGGAAAAAACCTAAATAAATAAAATCATGTTTGCTTAACTATAACATCAATGTTGACCTTAAAAGTAGGATGGATCCAAGAAATTGAATCCATCCCCTAATGCTCCTTATTTTCTTAGTCCTTCACCATTTTTCTCTCTGCCCTTTGCCAAACCCCTAACAGAATCAAAAGACAAAGTAAAGAGGACAAAGTTAAACATGCACAGTAGCACACTGTCCATACTCTCACTTAACCTGGGAACATGAAAATGTTGCAGCGTGTTTAGTTTAGGAATGCACCATTGGCAGGGCGCGGTGGCTCACGCCTGTAATCCCAGCACTTTGGGAGGCTGAGGTGGGAAGATCACTTGAGCTCAGGAATTGGAGACGAGCCTGGGCGACACAGTGAGACCTCCTCTCTATTATAAAATAAGAATAATAATAAAGAAATTAAAACAAAAAAGAAAGCACCACCGCAGATATTCCAGTTGATTCACTCTGCTCTCAAAAGATATGTCTCACACCAAGCAACTAATACCATGTTGTAACTGCCCCGGAGGAAAGACGTCCAACAGCTGAGGAGACCACAGCAGCAACTAGGTCATTTCCTATTCGAAGAAAAAGGAGGCAATGCCATTTGGCAAATTCGAGGTAGAGAGACAAATCAGTTCATGACGTTGCGAGGAGACAGAGTTCAAACGGGATCTACTGACATGACAGGGCATTGAGGGGAAGGAAAGGTTGAGGGAAACGCGGAAACTATTTCCATAGGAGAAGGCTTTTTCACTGAAGTCGAAACTGGCTTTGTACTGACGCCTAGCAAGGGAAACTCCCTGGACACTCACAGACATCCATCTGGTTACTTGCAGGAACATTCACCTTTCCGGGTGACACCCTCTGCCCTGCAGTCTTTATTTTCCCTGGATAGCCCAGCGTCATTTAAATACTCAGAAGCCTCTCTGCCTTTCAATGCTGTCGTCTGCAAAGAGATGAACGGACCTGTGCAGACGGCTGGCCAGTGACACTGGGATCTCCAGGTAACATGACCCAGTCACTGTGTCACAGACAGGCGGGCCAGGAGGAAACCAGAGCCACAGATGGATTCCAGGGAAAGCCAGCGTTACAGAATTAGGAAAAGTTGGGGAAGAAAAAGGAAAACGAGAATTTCCAAAACTGCCGCTTTCCCAGCAGAAGGGAGATGAAGTTGTCACTTTGGCTGCGAGGGTGCAGAGATGGAGGAAGGGTTGGGGGTGGGGATGGTACTGCAAGTGAGAAAAATAGCTATAGGCTTCATTGCAAAGCGATTCATGGAGAATACGCGAGGCCGGCGGCTAATTCCAAGACTTGCTCTCTCATTATTCCGTTCTGGTGCAGAACCCACTACGCAGGTGACAACACAACCCAGGATAAAGAATAAAATCATTCAGGGCTGGGCCCGCTAGACCGTGAGGCTCCGGCGGCTTTCGCCCGTTGTCTGGTGCACCCCACCTTCAGCACCTGCCCAAGATGGGGGCGATTGAAGACAGAGGCCCCAGAGACGCTCCGAGGCGAGGCACCCCCAGATTCCCGGCTGGCAGCCCAAGTTCGCAGCCGAGGGTCCAGGGCGGGGAGAGGAGGGGAAAGGAAGGAAGGGGGAGCAGGACGCTGCTCGGGGGCACCTGCCTGAGCTCAGGCGCGGTCCCCGGCCACAGGCGCGCAGGGTCACCGCCGGGGGAACCAGGACTCAGCCCTCGGAAAGTCCGCCCCAGCCCGCGGGGCACCCGGGCACCCGCTCTCCGACTACTGCCCTGGCTGCCGCCTCGCGGCCCACGTCTGCCTCAGTTTCCCCTCCCGCCCCTTACCTGCTCGAGACCTCGGAGGCTGTCCCGGGGGGCGCCCAGCAGCGCGCACAGCTCCAGCAGCCTCGAGGGCAGCGACAAGTGTTGCGACGCAGCCTCCGCCATGGCTGCCCGCCGCCCGCTGCGGGTACCGCGCTCGGGTTGCCTCGGCCGCTCAGCCGCCCGCAGACCCCTGGGGACCCGCCGCGCCGCCTGGGGTTCGGGTGCGCTGCGAGCGCCGTCCGCGGGGCGGGGCTGGAGGCAGGGCCTGGAGGGGCGGGGCCCGAGCCGAGGCGGGGCCTGGAGAGCCCCCGCGGATCCCGCGGGGAGACAGAGTTTGGGGGCGGGGCTTGCCTGGATGGAGAGGTTCTGGGCGGGGCCTGGAGTGGCTGGCCCGGCCCCAGGGACGGGGACTTAGGGGCGGGGCCAGTCCTGGGGCCGGTGCTGCTGGAGACCCGCGCGCGGTCGTCATTTCCGAACCCGCCTGCGGGCCCTGGCGCGTGCGCGGCGTCGTAGCACCGGGGCGGGGTGTAGGGCGTCTGCCCCGCCCCCCGGCCGCCCGCTCCCTGGGGAACCGAGGGAGGAACGGGCGGGGTCCTCAGGTGCCCGGCGACGTCATCCAGCCCCCAAGGCTCCAGGGCGCAAAGGGTCCCCTGATCTGGCAGTCCCCGGACCCACCTGGAGAGCGTGGGGGCACAAAGGCCGGACGCGCCGCCCGCCGCCGCCTCCAGGAAGGCCTCCCTTGCCAGGACAGCGGAGTTGGCCAGGTGTGGACAGCAGGGAGGGCCGGCGGGAAGGGGGTTGGAAAGATCCACTCCTGGTTAGTAACTCTGCCGGATTAACGTAGGGCCGGCCATGTCCAGTACGGACTTGAGTAAAATTCAACAGGAAAGGGAGCAGGGTGGGCGATGCTAGAGGGAGGCTTCAGGACTGAGGGTCAGAGGCCTAAGGCCTGGCAGGGCCCTTACGTCGTGAGCTCCAGGGAAGCTCCAGCTCCATCAGCTTGGCCTGATGACCGGTGGACCACGGGCCTCTTCCAGCCTCAGGCTGACCCCAGAGAAAGGGCAGCCCACAAGCCCTGGAGGCCGACTTGCTGCCTGGTCATTGCTGCAAAGCCTGGAGGGGGCCCAGGCTCAGTCCCCGCTGACCTTCGGCTCCCTTTACCCTGCCATAGCCATCTGTGTAACCCAGGGGAAATGATTCTAAAGGGACTTCCACTTCTGATAATCTATGATTCTGTTTTTTAAAAAACAAAACTCTAAATTGCTTAATGTCAAACATCTGTCATCAGCTGAACAGGAAAAGGAACAGTAGTACAAAGCAAGGCAACATCAGAAAGGGGAGCCCTGAGGAATGTCTCCCTCCTTCCGCAAGCTGGGTGAGGTCGTGACTGCAGCCTGACTCACGGGTTTTCTTTTGCTTACTAACCTAAAGATGGTGAGGATCCGCTGGTTCTCCCTCAGGCCTGGAGGCTGCTTGCCCTTGATGGCTCTCATCGTGTGAGGATCCACTGGTTCTCCCTCAGGCCTGGAGGCTGCCTGCCATGGGTGGCTCTCATCGGTGATCTGAGGCCACAGTTGTTATAGTCTCTGACTTCAAAAGAAAGACCGATTTCACGCACAATTGCCTGTCTCTCTCGACAGTGGCATTTTTGTTGTTGTCTGTTTGTTTTTGAGACAGAGTTTTGCTCTTGTAGCCCAGGCTGCAGTGCGATGGCGTGATCTCAGCTCACCGCAACCTCCACCTCCCAGGTTCAAGCGATTCTCCTGCCTCAGCCTCCAGAGTAGCTGGGATTACCCACCACCACACCTGGCTAATTTTTGTATTTTTAGTGGAGATGGGGTTTCACCATGTTAGCCAAGCTGGTCTCAAACTCCTGACCTTAGGTGATCTACCTGCCTTGGCCTCCCAAAGTGCTGGGATTACAGGCGTGAGCCACCACGCCCAGCCTCGGTGGCCTCATTTTTAGCAGCCTCTGCAAAGCACAGTCTGAGTCCATCGCCCAGAGTCCCCAGCATGCAGGAGAGAGGCTCTCAGCCTGGGCTGGAGCCATGAGCTACTCCCTGAGGGCCTGGATCTGGCTCCTTTGTGTGTTGCTGTGTGACAGATGAGCTCAAGGCCCTAAGCCATGACTTCCTGAGGGGCAGAGGTCAAGATTCAAGGAGGTAAACACATGGCAGCTCTTGCCACAAGGACCCAGTGAGGCTCAAGTGAGAGCAGGTCTCTGCTGTCCCTTTATTGCCAGAAGGCCAAATGCTTTAAGGAAGAGAGCTCCAGCAGTGCACAGAGCTTGCAGTTGACTCCTTTAGGCCCCCTTTTCCTCCTCCTTAAAACCAGATAATTGGGCCAGATGACCTCTGAGGGGCTCCCAGCTCTGCGCTTGTTAATACATTCCTGTCTCTCGTGCCACAGGCCCTTCCAAAGTGCCTACAGAAAGCTTTGGCCCATCCTTGAAAAATTGCTAATGGGTTTGGAGATACAAGGTGGAGATGACTAGCAGTCAAGCTCAAAGGTGGAAAAGTCACATCGAGGCAGATGAGCAGATGAGGGGACCTAGAGAAGAAGAGAGGGGCATGGAGAGCCCAGCCAGCAGGAACAATTGCCCCAGTAGGCAGCACTGCCCCACATCAGAGTCAAGGAAAGCAAAGCTCAGACTGGATAAAAGAAACCTGCAAACACAGTCAGTGCTCACTGCATGTGGGCTCAGAGCACGTGACCCTCCTTCCCTGTGTATTCCTGTGAAATGGGTTTGCTGCTCTCACTCTCAGGGACACTGTGAAGATCAAACAAGAAAATAGAAATAAACATAATTTATAAACCATAAACTACTGATACCAAAAGAGGGGCGAGCTCAACATTGCGAATGTGCTGATACTAAACAGTTCACTTTAAGATGGTCTTACGGTGTGTGAATTTCACTTGAATAAATTTTTTTAATGGAGTTTATGGGGACGCTGCAGGATGTCAATAACCTTTGGACATTTTAGCAGCACTTTAGGCGTTAAAATTATTTTTAAAAAAATAGGATGAAGGGAAAAGCTTCTTGACATTGGATTTGGCAGTGATTCCTTGGATATGACCCCAAAAGCACAGATAACAAAAGAAAAAATGGTTAAATTGTCTTCATCAAAATTAAAACTTTTGTACATCAAAGAACCCTTTCAAAAGAGTGAAAAAGTCACAGAATAAGAGAAAATGTTTGCTGATCATATACCTGATAAAGAATTAATATTGGGAGCCAGATGCAGTGGCTCATACCTGTAATCCAAGCACTTTGGGATGCCAAGGCAGGCAGATCACTTGAGGTCAGGAGTTCGAGACAAGCCCAGCCAAAATGGTGAAACCCCAGCTCTACTAAAAATACAAAAAGTAGCCAGGCGTGGTGGTGGGCACCCAGCTATTTGGGAAGCTGAGGCAGGAGAATCACTTGAACCCAGAAGGCAGAGGTTGCAGTTAACCAAGATCATGCGACTGTACTCCAGCCTGGGTGACAAAGTGAGACTCCATCTCAAAAAAAAAAAAGAGTTACTATTCAGAATATATTAAGAATTCCGGCCGGGCGCGGTGGCTCAAGCCTGTAATCCCAGCACTTTGGGAGGCCGAGACGGGCGGATCACGAGGTCAGGAGATCGAGACCATCCTGGCTAACACAGTGAAACCCCATCTCTACTAAAAAATACAAAAAACTAGCCAGGCGAGGTGGCAGGCGCCTGTAGTCCCAGCTACTCGGGAGGCTGAGGCAGGAGAATGGCGTAAATCCGGGAGGCGGAGCTTGCAGTGAGCCGAGATCTGGCCACTGCACTCCAGCCTGGGCGACAGAGCGAGACTCCGCCTCAAAAAAAAAAAAAAAAAAAAAAAGAATTCCTACAACTCAACAACAAAAAATATCCAGCCCAATTAAAAAATGGGCACAGACCCAAATCGACATTTCTTAGAAGACACACAAATGGTCAATAAGCTCATGAAAAGATGTTTAACATCACTAATCATTAGGGAAGTGCACATCAAAGCTAAAATGAGATACCACGTCACACTTATTAGATGTTATTTTTTAAAAATAACACAACAAAAAAAATAAATGTGGGCGAGGATGTGAAGAAATGGAAACCCTTGTGGACTGTTGTTGGGGATGTAAAATGGCACAGCTGCTGTGGAAAACAGTATGGCAGTTCCTCACAAAACTAAACAGAATTACCACATGACCCAGCGATCCTACCTCTGACATATACTGGAAAGAACTGAAATAAGGCGCTGGAACAGACACTTGTAACCCACGTTCACAGCTGCACTATTCATAGTAGCCAAAAGGTGGGAGTAACCCGAATGTCCATCAGTGGATGAACGGGTAAATAGATTTTCTTTCACTGGCAGTAAAAGCTGTGACTTTGGAGGCGACTGCATTTCACACAGCTCTCCACACGGGTGAGTACACAGCTTTCTCGTCTCTTTCCTATGCTGTGTCTTCAGAGCTAGCTATGATATGATATGTTGTGATATGTGCGTATTGAATATATGTCTTTTACATACAAATGCAACCAGTTTATTGAGGGCTTGATGGAGGATGTGGAGTGTGGGGGATGGTCTTACATTTCCAATTTAAAAATCTCAACAACAACAACAAAATAGGGGACAGAAGGGCAAGACTTTTGGTGTTCTCTAGAGCAATGGCACTCTGTCCCTAGAAGAATGGTAGGAGCGGGGCATGTTCATATGTCCTTGAGGTGTGACCACACATGGGCACACAGTAGCCCAAAGCACATCCCAGGCGGGAGCAGTTCCTTTTATGGGGCCGCCTGAGCAGAAGCCAAGGTGCTGGGTTTGAAACAAAAAGGAATGACTGTCCCACACTAAGTAACTCACCAAACCTCACTGACCTCAGTTTCTTATCTGTAAAAAGAGCAATGCGGGGCCCGGCTCAGTGGCTCACACCTGTAATCCCAGCACTCTGGGAGGCCGAGACAGGTGGATCACCTGAGGTCAAGAGTTTGAGACCAGCCTGGCCAACATGGTGAAATCCTGTCTCTACTGAAAGTATAAAAATTAGCCAGGCATGGCGGTTCATGCCTGTAATCCCAGCTATTCAGGAGGTTGAGACAGGAGAATCGCTTGAACCCAGGGGACAGAGGTTGCAGTGAGCTGAGATCGAGTCACTGCCTCCAGCCTAGGTGACAGAGCGAGAGTCCATCTCAGAAAAAAAAAAAAAAAAAAAGCAATGCCTACCTTGTAAGGCTGCTGGGAAAATCAAATATGCCAATAGATGTGGACAAGCCCCACACAGAGAACGGAAAGCTGCCTGCATAACTATTATATTAGAGTGTTTGGACAGACTAGGGAGCTATCCTACCTGCATAAAAGGTCAAACTTTGGGGCATCTATGAGACTCATCACAGTCTGGCCTCAAATAAGTGTTCCCATCGCACCCCTCCTGAACAACTGTGACTCACCCACTGTCCCCCTAAACGTGCCCTTCCCTGCGGGCTACCCAGGACACACTTTTCCTACTCAGTCTGAAACCCACCTACTCGTCCTTCCAGGTCTTGCTCAAACAGCACCTTCAGGGGAGCCGTCCCTCCCCTTATCCCCAGCTCTCCCGGTGAGAAGTGGAGCTCCTCCTCTAAACTCCAGAACCCTCCACCCTGCATTCCAGGCGTTTTATTCTCAATGGCCTGGTACAAATCCTGACCCAATATTGGTAAGTATTTGACATTGCACAATGCGTGGAGTGTCACAGAGACCGTGGTCAGTAATAAAGGTGCAATCGGCGTTGCCCTCTGCTGTCATCGTTCACAGAGATTCTCCACAAGGGCCAGTCTCCCAGCTTGATGGTGAATGGGTAGCAGGTGAAGTTGACACACATACCCCAGAGTGCACAGCCCTGAACGTCCACACATGACAAACACATAATCCCGTGTGTAGTATTTGGATGCACTCTACCTTGTTACAACTGGAGTTCAAACAATTGGATTATGTATTCCTCACATAAACTTTGAAGTGGGGTTAGCTGGATCTGCATGCAATGATGCACGCTAAGCTTCAGCTTTTCTGGGAAAGCATAATCACGTCTCTGTAAGCAAAGAAAAACATGAGTATGAGTGAGCAGCTTTCTCCAACAGCGACATGATGGGGACACTCTACTGCCGTAGTACAAGTCACATGCAAACACTTCCAAATCCAACCCCTGCTCTCACTAGCCCTGTGACCTCGGAAGTCCCTTAACCTCCCGAACCTTGGTTTCCCCATTTCTTTTGAGATGTTTATTGACCACCTGCTATATGCTTGGTCCTATGATAATGGCTAAGAACACAGAAGAATAAACTAAAACTATAGACCTCCCCACTCGACAAAGAGCTCACAGTGCGGAAAATGTGTGTTCAGTGGAGAGAGGGAAGCAGAGGTTGCTCTGGAAGTAGAGAAGTAGGACCCCTGACCCAGCGGGAGATTCAGGTAAGAGGAGAACACAGAAAATCAACCATGAAAGGGGAAGAGGGATTTTCTGGGGGAACAAAGGCATAGAGGCCAAGGCAGGCTCAGCAGCGGGAAGAGCACTGGCAGAGGCAAGGCTGCAGGAACAGCACTGTGTGTGCAGAGGCCGCCGCACCAATGCTTGGATGCTGCTGAGAAGTGTCTGTTTCATGCTTGTTGCTCTGCCCAGTCCCTGAAGCAGTGCCCAGTGCATGGCAGGTGCTCTGTACACACCGAGGGGAGCAGTGGAGAGGGCCAGTGGGCTGGCATCTGTCCTGGGGTAGTAGGAGGCTATGAGGACTTTGACCAAGTTAGAAATGGTTCCAGACTGGTATTTGAGAAAGGGGACCCCGGCTGCAGGGAGAGGCAGGAAAGTGAACGTGAATACTGCAGTCTCCAGGCAAGGGCAGAGGATCCAGACAGGCCGGGAGGGGAGCAGCAGGAAGACGGGCAGGAGGCAACTCAGGAGCACTGGGATGGAGTGGCGGTGGAAAGGGGGCCAGGGGCCATCCATGTCTCAAACTCCACAGGTGAGATTCGGCTCCTGTTCCACCACTGCAGCTTTGACCCCACCGTACTCCAGTGGCTTGTGGGCCTGTCCTCCCATGGATCTGTCCACTCGCTGAGGGCAGGGCCTACAGCTGAGATGCTCCTGCTGTGTCCCCAGAGTTGCACAGAGCAGGTCCTCACTCGTGTGGGGAGAGCCCAGGAGCACCAGGCTGGCAGGGGCAGGGGTAGGCGGGGTGTGGAGGAGCCCCCGGGGGTTGGTTTGGGACAGGTTGACCTTGCAGAACTGTGGACATCTAAATGGGCCATCCTGAAAGCGGTGTGTGCATCTGTGTATGTGCATGTGTGTAGTGTGTGTGTTTAGCAACTGTGTGCTGTCATGTTTAGGCCTGAGCCTTTCTCCCTTCTCTTGTGCTGGGAAAGGGAGGGAGAATTGTAGAGAAAGCCAGAACGCAGATACAATGGGGATGGTGACGCAGACTCTGGGGAATAGACACCAGGGAACAAGCCCTTCACCATCCGCAGTGAGAACGGTCACGTGATGGGGTCCCGGCAAACAGCACAGGTGCTGTGAACATCACCGTTAACCATGCCACAGGTGGGCCGCCTCATCAAATGCCCCTGGCTTGCTCAGGTAGCCCCCTCCTGTCCTAATCAGCTATCAACCCATTTATGAAAAGTTGGTTCCCCTTTAAAATATGAATAACTAGGCCGGGCGCAGTGGCTCAAGCCTGTAATCCCAGCACTTTGGGAGGCCGAGACAGGTGGATCACAAGGTCAGGAGATCGAGACCATCCTGGCGAACATGGTGAAACCCCGCCTCTACTAAAAAACACAAAAAACTAGCCGGGCGAGGTGGCGGGCGCCTGTAGTCCCAGCAACTCAGAGGCCGAGGCAGGAGAATGGCGTAAACCCGGGAGGCGGAGCTTGCAGTGAGCCAAGGTCCGGCCACTGCACTCCAGCCTGGGCGACAGAACGAGACTCCGTCTCAAAAAATAAATAAATAAATAAAATAAAATAAAATATGAATAACTAAGAGGAAGACACGTGTTGTCAAACACTAACTGTCTGGGCTCACGTTAGATGGTGCAACCTCTACCTGCCGAGTTCATGTAGACAGTGCAAGTTCTGAGCTCAGTCTCGCAGGGCTTTGGAGGGTGCAATGGCAGCTCTCAACACTGGCCACCAGTAAGACCCATGCGGAAAGTTTGGACAAACCCCTATGGCCAGGCTCTGCCCTCAACCGCTCAGAACATCTAGGGGGCTGGGGTGTGGGCAGCTGAGGATCCAGCGGCGCCCCCAGGTGACTCGGATGTGCAGCCAGACACTGCTGCTGGGCTAATGCTGTATTTTGTCATTTGTGAAACGAAAGTAATGACACTTCCTCCTGAATGAGGAAAACACTGGGCTCCCCTCCATAAGCACTTACTGCGTGCCTACTCTGTGCTGGTTCCCGTGGTGCCTACCGGTGCTGGCACACAGTGGGGCTGAACACACGTGGTGAGTTCAGACCTGCACTGACCTGGACCTGGCTCAGCACCTACAGGCTGGGTAACCCTGGTCCCCTTGCTGAACCCTGTGGACAAATGTTCCCATCACCTGGCCCTGTGGCTGACACACAAAGTGACAGAAGTACCATGAGTATTTGACGAATAAAAGCATAAAGGTTAAATTCCACTGCCCACTGATCATGGCCAACCTATGCAATGGGCTGCCAGTCAGCAGAGATTCGCTAACCCCACATGGAGTACAGCATACACCGTGATACCACTTCACAAAGTCCAGGAGCAGACAAAGCACAAGTAAGTAAGAAAACCACACAGAGGATCACCGCAGGGTGCACACCACGTGCAGGGTGCTGTACTCCCTGGGGGTCCCCGGGGCCATCTTGGTGGCACCCTGTTCCTTCAGCTGGTGGGACAGAGCTGTTCATGTTATAGTGATTAGATATATTCTTTGTAAATATGAAATATTTTATCAAGAAAAAAAAAAAAACATCAGTGGTCTCATCTCTTTTTGGAATTCTACTGTGTCTAAAACAATTGCCCAACTGTAGATATCAAGCAACTGTCTTAGACTCCAATCCCCAAGAAAACTGCCTAGATCTAGAAAATGCGGGACTGAGGAAGAACGATAAAAAGATGGGAAAGGGGCATGTTCCCTGGCTTCCTTTGTTGCCCCACAGCCTGGAGGCCTGACGCTGAGAAGGACCTTCCACTCTCAGCAATGCCTGCTCTGAATAGCCCCTAAGGAGCCATTGAAGAAAATTCGGCCGGGCATGGTGGCTCACGCCTGTAATCCAGCACTTTGGGAGCCTGAGGCAGGCGGATCACCTGAGGTCAGGAGTTCAAGACCAACATGGCCAACATGGTAAAACCCCATCTCTACTAAAAATACAAAAACTAGCCAGGCGTGGTGGCAGACGCCTGTAATCCCAGCTACTCAGGAGGCTGAGGCAGGAGAATCGCTTGAACCCGGGAGGCAGAGGTTGCAGTGAGCCAAGACTATACCACTGCACTCCAGTCTGGGCAACAGGCGAGACTCAGTCTAAAAAAAAAGGGAAATTCTAGGAAGCGAGGGTTGAGGAAGGACGTCGGGAACCTGTTGCTCCTGCTGGCAGCTCAGAGCTGCACGGCCGGCCGAGCAGCCACACTCACTTGCGACATTCTCTTCCTCCTGGGTGTGAAGAAAGACAGGAAGCTGTGGTCTGGCTGCCGCTATGTGCTTGGTCAGGGAGGAAGGGGACAGGTGTGAGAACTGTCTTAACCCATCCGGACTGGGAATCAAGACAAACAAAAATAGACAACTGACAGTAAATAGGCAGAAAGGGGGAAGTTAGGTATGAACGCCACTCACCCAGGGCCCAGGAGGGAAGCTCGGACCTCCCAAGGTTATTCAAAGGCACTCTGCGCCTGCGGCCTGCTGCCCTGGATGCCCTGCCCCCTCGTCCTCTGTGGCCAACTCCCAACTTGCCTTTCATCGACTCAGATACCAACTCCTCCAGGAAGCCCTCTCTCACCTGCCCCCCTACTTCCTCCATCCAGGCTGTGCTGCCCCCCACACCTCTCAGAGCCTCCTCATGTTGCTCCTGACCATGACCATGTGGGGGGCGAACCCGTGTCCTTTATGCCTCTCCACAGCCCTGCCCTTGGGCCTCCAACTATGAACCAACCTGACCCCTCCCTTGTCCCCACTCCAGAGCCACCGCCAAGCCCCCACACATGGGCACTTCTTATGAGGTCCTTGTGGGAAGGGCACTGTCACTGGAGGCTGAAAGGCCTGGGTGCAAGCACCGCCCCACCCTTCCCTGGCTGTAGGGTAGGGAGGTCGCCGTGCACACCTCAAGGGACTGTCGTACAGAACAGGATGATGGGCAGGGCCTGCTGTTGGGTGGCGCTCAGTGACTGCCAGGCACCCCCTGCTCCCCCAGCCTCAGGCTTTCCCCCGGTCAAGACCCACTGGTTCTCTGCAAGGCAGGACAAGGGCAGACATGGCAAGGGGCCACCCTAGTGGTGGTGACGATGGCTGCCGGTCACCTGAAGCTGGAGGCGTTCCGCATGTGTGCACATTCTCTTACCGATCTTCTCAGCAACCCTATAAACCCTATCACCCCATTTCACATATCAGGCACCTGAGGCTCAGCCAGGTCAGCCACATGACCAGGAGCACGCAGCAGTGAGCGGGGGAGCAGAGGTGTACGCCTGGGAAGGTCCAACACCAAAGTCCAGGCGCCAGGCACTCCGGGGAGGAACTGCTTCTCCACATGGGGCCAGAGCCTTCCCAGGCTGGACTTCCACTCCTGTCCCCCAAATAGGTCCTGCCCACCCTAGCCCGTTGCCCCTGCTGCAGGTGGTTCTAAAGTTTGCTTGGGGCCAGGCACGGTGGCTCACGCCTGTCATCCCAGCACTTTGGGAGCGGGCGGATCACGAGGTCAGGAGATGGACACCATCCTGGCCAACATGGTGAAACCCCATCTCCACTAAACTACAGAAAAAAATTAGCCGGGTGAGGTGGCCCGTGCCTGTAGTCCCAGCTACTCAGGAGACTGAGGAAGGGGAACCATTTGAACCCGGGAGGCAGAGGTTGCAATGAGCCAAGATCGTGCCACTGCACTCCAGCCTGGTGACAGAGTGAGACTCTGCCTCAAAAAATAAATTAATTAATTAAATACATAAATAAATAAATAAAGTTTGCTTGGTGGGCGACAAGACCTCCCATGCTGGAATCTTATAATTAGAAGGGATTTAAAACCGTCTGGCCAAACTCAGTCAACTCTAACTCCTCTGGGCCCAGCGAAAGTTCAAAGCCGCTTCCTCCGATTCATTCTCACAGCGCTTTGTGAACACCCCAGTGGGGCCCCAGTGGCGTAGATGCCAGG